ATGTCAGTCAAACAATTAACTACAAATGTGAGTGGAAGCATTACGGAATAAACGAGCCGAAAGCACTTGTTAAATATCACGAACGAAAGCCTTTATTGTCTTCTCAAATACTACATCAGAATCGGCCCGCGTGTTTACGTTTACATCGGCGCTCGCTCGACAACAACATGCAGTGTCGGGACGCTCGCTGCTCTTTGTTAACAGAGCTATTACATGCACGCTTTGAGCACGAGGAATTAATTATTACGCATGCAATCGCGATCGCGAGATTGAGCTGGCCAGCTTACCTTTATTTAGCAGACGTTCGAAGACAAGAATGCACGATTTGCACTGCGGAAAAGTTTGTCTGTTCTTTCGTCGCGGTGCGCTAATTCGCGCGCACGTGGTTCCGCCCTCGATGGCGAACCTCACACACACTCTCGCTTTCGCGGGGAATGACGCTCTCCTCTGGCTCAGGTCCGCACTCGTTCAGGAACTTCAATCCTGGATCGCGATCTTGGCGGTTTCTGTATCGGCAGCTGACGACGTGACTACCGGCGAATACCTTGATGGTTAGTGCTCCACTGGTTCAATTTCAATCGCGCGCGTTCCGTCTGCTCGCGTGCCGAATTCCTTCGTTACGTTTTTCGTCTCCCCGGTAGGTGCTGCCCCCGCAGGCAGCAATTAGGTTATATTATTAGCGCTAATTTGACGTTTACCGTCACAATGACATATGGAAGTTTCTTTACGTTTACATATTCTTTACGTTTCGAATGTTTGAATTTTTGGATTGTATCATTAAATAGATTGATTCTATACTTATTAATTTGTGAACAATCAATATCGTGAGCTATCAATAGATCCTCAGTAGTAAAATAGTGAAGGCATCGTTCACGAAGATAGATTTTTTGAGTATGTGAGGTTATTTGACTTATAACAAGAGCAGACAAATTCACATAGTGAAACTCGTTGCAAATTAGTTCTGTATCGTGAATATTTTAGTTCCTATCATCATATTCATCAATATACTCTTTTTAAATTAAAAGTTTAACATGTTTGGATTTCTTTGAGCTAGTTACATGATATGGTGATACTTCAAATTTTTTTCTGTAATTTTTAAGAATGTATACGTTTATAGATATGTCATTCAACTTTTCAAATTTCAGAATACTTTTTATTTATACAGGAAACGTTATATCATCAAATTTTTATTCTTTTTCAAAACGTGTATAATTAATAGTTTTATAACTATGGTTTTTATAACTGTCAGTAGGATGAAGACAAGATAATACAGCCCATTTGACACATTGATTGTCGATATTCTCAACATTAATACACGCTTTTCTCTTTTTTATGGCCTTAGATAATGGTACATACGAGCAAGATTTGAGTGGATTGTATTTATTTATGTTAACTGTAAGTTTAATTACCAACCAGATTCTCATTTTTGAAATGTTTTAATATTCTTAGGTAAAACGTCTTTAATATTTCTTTCAAAACATTCATTTAGATCACTACTTTCAAAATGCATTGATTTTTAGTGTTAAAGTATTTAATTTTATCTGCTTCATTATTCGTTTTAAGAATAAACTAAGTTAAAAATTCCATATTTATCTTCAATGCATTATGGATAGCTAGAAACTTTGATGTTTGCTTTTGTAAAAGTTTGTTTGCTGCTTTTAAAAACTTCTTTATATCCACATGAAGCTGATTTCCTATAACTACTCGTATAGTATTAATACGATTTTCAAAAGCAGAATGAATAGGTCTCCAAGGAACATCATCTCCTTGAATTTCATCTATATTTAACTGTGATGTCTAAATAGTTCCACCGACTTTTATGAAATTATTAAATTGTGTTTCTTAAGCAATCACGTGTGTACCACAAGTTTGACCTGTTTGCAGTATTGTTCGAGATAAAGTACTCAGCTTTAAATATCTATTATGAGCAATGAAAGTAGAATTCGCTAAATTTTTGAATCTAATAAAGTCATTCTCCTGTCAAGAAATTTATAATAGGCCGACCACAGATCTTTTACTGTTTGCTCAAAATATGAAACTGAAGACATTTTTATTGAGATACTCAATAAATTACTTTGTAAATTAATAGTTGTCTTTAAGCTACTTTAGGAATTATACAGGGTCTTTAAGCTACTTTTTCTAACTACTAGTAATCTATAGAGACTACTGTTAACTACCAACTATGACTGTGCTCTTTCTTACAACAGACTGACTTTGAAAGCCAGGCGCTGGCGCTGTTCGCAGCGGCGTCGGCGCTGTGAGCTATGTAGGGGATAGCTTCTGTCAGAAAAGTGGGGAGGCGATTGTAGCGTCACTGAACTAGTGTACGCACCTATGGAAGGGGTAGCTTATACTGAAAAGTGAGAAGGCGAATGCAGAGACATCTAACTAAATACAGTATATTGTAACGTTTGATTCTATCTCGCGTTAGTCAAGTAAATAGTTCGGACTCTTTTTGTTTTATTTGTAATCGCGTTTCCGAGAATAGCAAGAAGTTGACACGTATATACTCCATCAGATTTGAAATTTCAATATTCATCGAATAGCAAACACAATATTTGCTGTTTCGATGAGCCGTTTTATAACATAATTGAGTATTGTTGCATCTATCGGGGAAAAGCCCGACAGCGCCGCAACGAATATTCAATTTTATTTCTAGGCAATTAATGATTTTAGAGAGAAGATATTCTAAGGCTACTTTTTCTCATAAGAGAGAGAGAGAGAGTCTTATGAGTTGAGCGCTTAGATTATCGCAAGGAAAGGAATTAGCAGGCTAACCACTGAATAATGAAATTACTCTCAGGAAATAGCTGAGTCTTTATTTGGATTCAATGCTCGCGCTCGAAGATTAACCGTTTCTCAAGGAAAAATCGCCTTTTAAAGTTATAAGTGATATAATTTAGATATTGAAATAACACAAAATTTACAATAAATTTACGGATAATTTTTACATCAAAAAATCGCTTGTGATTAGTGAAACATTATTCAAAATAAAAACGATTAATTTAACTATCCACTTTTGAATAGTAATTAAAAAACAAATTTGTTAATTTCTCTTTTAACCATTTAAAAATCAGCAAATGAGTAACAATCGTTATCATTAATTTTATAGATATATACAGTCGAATCGCTATCTAGCAACGCAATTTTTAATTGTTTAAATAAATTATAAATTTTTTATTTATTGATAACTCAGTGAAAAATTAGTTACCAAAGTGTCAAATTCTTGCTTCTCTGTGTCAATCCGTTACGAACGCAATTGCACATTCGAATTTGAAATATAATTATTTGTTGCAAAATAACTAACACGATTAACTTTTAAATTAATCGTGTTTAATTAAATCGTGTTTAATTAAATTAAACTAACAAATACATATTTAATGACTACAATAACATGAAATTCAAGATCAGCGCATCAAAATTAACTAAAACTGCTTTTGTTCATTAGAAAAAACTTTGCAATTGTCGCTTTTGCATTGTAATCAATAAATTTCCCACGCTCGTGATGTCACGCTCCTTACATGGTCTTGTTTTCGACGAATTACCTTAACACATTTACATTATGTATATGAGATATGAGATACTCATATGTATGAGTACTCGTATGTATAGATATGTATGAGATACTCTTCTCATATAAGTATATAAGACGAGTGCCTTTGCTCAATTACTGCTTTTCTTTAGTTTTCTCGTGAACAACGGGTTGCTATTTTGCATTAGGAGAAAGAGCAAATCAGACAGGACCGTTACAATATATTGAATTCTAACGTTCTCATTTATAGGTTAGCTGTCGTATTGTTCGAATATATCTACGAGGACAAGTGTTCAAAATGGAGATAGATAATTGCTAATCATTACATTGTGTACTTACTACAAATAAATATATCTATGGGAGGTGGGAGAGTGTAAAGTGGGAGAGTGGATGGGTGAAGAAGCGTAGGAAAAGACTACTTGGTGAGCTGAGTGCGGATGAGGCACTGAACTTCATTTTTCAATATAAGCATAATGCAGCTCTAGCAAGCATCCTCCTCTCCATATACGCCTCAAGCTAGAGAGAGAGAGAGAGTGCGCACTTCAAGCTAGAAACGCTACACCCTCTTCGAGGGCCTGCACCTAGCCAGTATATGCTTACTGAGTGCCCTAATGTCAAAGGAGAGAGAGAGAGAGAGAGCAGCATTCACGCTATACAGTGTAGACACTGTAGTATATTAAGCTATATTAGCTCATGGGCGAGAGCGGGCGTGTGTGCGAGGCTGAGCGAGAGAGCGTGTGAGTGTCAAGCGGAGTGCTAGAGTGCGTGTATGTGTGAGGCAAAGAGAGAGAGCGTGCGCGGAGCGACTGCACGAGAGAGTAGAGCTATGCACGCCAAAAGAGAGAGAGAGGGAGTACGTGTGATAGACAGCACTTGTAAATAGCGGAATGAAGCATTCGTAATTATTAAGCTTAATAAATATTCATTATAATCAATTAAGCTGAACGTGTGCAATTTATTTACCCTCGATACACCCAAATGGCGACGAGGATTAAAGTGATAAATTAAGATTATAAACGTAAAGGGTAGACGCTCACCACGTGGAGAGCTGGCAAAAAGTGCGCGCTCGGGGTCTTCGTGTGCAGAAAACAGCAAGTAGGAAGGTACTTGGCTGTCATAATTTTTTCGGCGTGCCAATTACCAGTGTGAGTAATAGGCAAGGCAACACGACACGGTGTAGTAAGGTTAGACTAGTTGTGCAAGTAGGAAGGTACTTGCATAGGAAAGCAGACATTCTTGATGTCAGAACAGAAAAAAAACATTGAGCTGGGCGCACTCTTTGAACAAAAACCAACTACTGGAAGAATTGGACAGACGAGGTATATTCTATTACCCAGATTCAAGATTTGAGGCACTAAGATTACTGCTGAAAAAGAGCATTGAAGAACAGCAAGAAAATTCAGAGGAAAACCAAGGTGAATCAAGTAAGAATCGAATTTTAATAATTGAAAACTTGCACGATAACGATATGTCGGACGGGGTAAAAATCGAATTTAGGTTAAACACCGACAATTGGGAGACTTTTACGGAGCAGTTAGAATTACTCTTCATTACAAGAGATATTAAAGATGAAAAGAAAGCCGCGCACTTGTTGGTTAGGCTTGACGCAAATGCATACCAATTGATTAAACAATTGATGGCTCCGCAAAAAGCTAAAGACATGAGTTTTGATGACCTTCTGAAAGTCATGCAAAATCACCTAAACCCGAAACCGTCAGAGGTTATGGAAAGATGCAAGTTTCATAAAGCCAGTCAAGGTGATTCGGAGTCGGTAGCAGAGTTCGCAGTTAAATTGAGAGGCTTAGCTTTGCACTGTAATTTTGATAAAAATTTGGATGACGACGCTCTCAGAGACCAGTTTGCGTGCGGGTTGAGAAGTCACGAAACTAGAGTGGAGTTGTTTAAACAAAAAAAATTAACATTCGATTTAGCCCTGAAGGAAGCAGTAGCGCGCGAGATGGCTACAAATAATGCAAATCAGGCACTAGACGCTTTAAAGTCAGAAAATACCAGTGCAGATGAAGTCTTAGCGATAAGAAATGGTAACAAAAAATATTGGATAGACGAAAAAAGAGGATTAACTCCAAAAAAAGATTATTCCGAACTAAGATGCTATTGCTGCGGAAAGCAGGGTCACACAAAACCGGTGTGTAAGTTCAAAGACAGTGTCTGCCATGGGTGTAAGAAGAAAGGGCATCTCAAGGCAGTATGCAAAAATTCCAAAGATGTTAGTTCAAAAAATCGTAGAGAGCAATGCCTGCAAGGATCGAGCGAAGAAGAAGCAGAAGAGGACGACGCAAGCACGCACAGCGACCACGCATCCACCTTCTACTGTTTGCGAGATGCAGAGCACGACAAGGTATTGAAAAATGTTGTAAATGTAAAAGCAGAGCAAAAGTGCTATAGGGATAGAGACGGCAAACCAATGTTTGTTGATGTAACAATTAATAATATAAAAATTCGTATGGAGGTGGATACAGGCACCTTTGTTACTGTTTTGTCAGAAAAACTGTATAGAAAATTTTTTAATAGTTATAAGTTAGTACAAACAGATAGAAGATTAATGGCCTATGACAAAAATATTTTGTTGCCTGTTGGAAAACTTTTAAACTTAGAGGTCAAAATTAATAACAAGATATGTTTATTAGAATGTTTTGTATTAGCAGGGAATGGACCAGCATTGATAGGCAGACAATGGCTGGCGGCATTCGATTACTGGCCTTTGCAGTTACGTAAATAATATGTATAATTTAAATATTGAAAATGTAGCAAAAGACTTAAGTAAAAAATACACAAAATTATTTAGCAATACACCGGGAGAATATAATAGAAGCAAAACGAAACTGGTTTTAGAAAATAATGTCAAACCTATTGCAATGAAATATAGGCATGTAGCGCACGCGTTAAGTCCACTCATTGAAGAAGAATTAGAAAGATTAATGAAATTGGGACACTTGGTGCCAGTGGAAGTAAGTGAATGGGCAACACCAATTGTACCAATTTTCAAAGATAACGGTAAAATTCGCATCTGTGGAGATTTTAAAGTAACAATAAATAAGCATTTATTAAGTGATAAATATGGGTTGCATACAACAGACGACATTTTTTTTAAATTACAGGGTGGAAGCAAATTCAGTGAATTGGACTTAAAGCACGCATACATGCAATTCCCGGTCGACGAGGAAAGCTCCAAATTACTTACCATAGTTACACATAAGGGCATGTTTAGATATAATAAGTTAACCGAGGGCGTCGCTACAGCACCTCCGAATTGTCGAAGGAAAATGGATGAATGTTTGAGTGGTTTAGATGGAGTAATAGCGTATATTGACAACATTTACGTCACTGGTAAAACGGATGAGGAGCATCGACGCAACTTGGATTTAGTTTGTAAGAGACTACAAGACTGTAACCTAAGACTCAACTTGTCAAAATGTTTTTTTATGAAGGATAAACTAGAAGTTTTAGGTTTTGTCGTAGATAAAAACGGACTTCATAAAGCAAAATCCAAAGTTCAAGCAATGGTAGATACTCCACAGCCGAGAAATCAAAAAGAATTAGAATCATTTTTAGGATTAATTAATTTTTATGCTAGGTTTTTAGAAAATAGATCACATAGATTAAGACCACTGTACGAATTGTCACACAAAAACAAATTTGTATGGAACGCAGAATGTGATAGAGCGTTTACATGGGTCAAAGAGGAGCTCATTTCTCCAAGAGTATTGGTCAACTATGACCCAAAAGAAGAAATTGTACTAGCTTGCGACGCCTCACACTATGGATTATCAGCAATATTATCTCATAAGTATTCAAATCGAGAAGAAAGACCCATTGCTTATGCGTCCAAAAAAATTCCAAAACATGAACTAAATAGAAAGATTTTAGATAAAGAGGCGATGGCAATTGTTTTTGGATTTCAAAGGTTTTATCAATTTATTTTTGGAAAAAGTATAATTTTAAGAACTGATAACAGTGCGTTAGCTTGGATATTGGGACCTCGAAAGGGCATACCGCAGACTACAGATAATAGATTGCAAAGATGGGCTTACTATTTGTCAGGGTTTAAATATGAAATTGAACATATTAAATCAGCAGCCAATGCAAACTGTGATGCACTTTCGAGATTACCAGTAGACTCTAATATTAAGTTAAAAAATTCAAATTTCTCTCATGTAAAATTTTTGATAATGGAATAATTTCATACAATTATAAAACGCTAGAAAAAGAAAGCAAAAAAGATAAGTTATTTTCGTCAGTGATTAAATTTGTTATGTCTGAATGGCCAAAAGATAAAAATATGTCCAGTGAAATGAAAAGTATCTTTGACAAAAGAATGGAATTAACGGTAGAAAAAGGATGTTTATTTTGGGGATTAAGAGCAGTTATACCAAAAAGTATGAGAGAAATCATATTAAAAGAGTTACATGCGACTCACTTGGGCATATTCAAATACAAAATGTTTGCTAGATCATACGTTTGGTGGCCAGGTATAGATAAAGATATAGAAAATTTAGTAAAAAATTGTGATATCTATATGATAGAAAGAAAGAAGCCTCCTCAGACTCCACTAAATACATGGCCTTACCCAGACAAAGCCTGGTCTAGAATTCATTGTGATTTCGCAGAATTATTTGGTAAAATGTACTTGTTAATAATGGATGCATATTCTAAATGGCCAGAAATTATAAATTTCAACACAAATACTAAAGCGCATAAAGTAGTTGAAGAGTTTAAGTGTTTATTTGCGAGACATGGTTTCCCATTGCATTGCGTCACAGATGGGGGGCCACAATTCAAAAGCGCTGAATTTAAAAATTTTTTGTACGAAAATGGAGTGAAACACTCATTCAGTCCCCCTCATCACCCAGCTACAAATGGTGCTGCTGAAAATTTCGTGGGCACTTTTAAAGACAAAGTTAAAAAAATTGTTCGAGGGGGAGAGAGCGTAAATAATGCAATTTCCATGTTTCTTTTTGACTACAGAAGCATCGAGCACTGTACCACTGGCAGAAGTTCTGCTCATCTAACGTTTAAAAGAGAATTGCGAACTAGATTTGATTTGCTGCGTCCTAACGTAAGCGAAATAGTTGAAAAACATCAACGTGCCCAAATAGTGGCGAGAGCAGGTCGCAGAAACATAGACATAAAGCTAGGGGACAAAGTGTTTGTCGACGATTTCAGTGTTAGATCTGATAAGCGCATTGAGGCTGAGATTGTAAAACAACTTTCGCCGTCTACATTTGTAGTTAGAGATAAGAATGGACATGTACATAAGCGACATACTGACCAAATTATAAAAAGGGACGTTGGTCTCAGACGCTCTCCTCGTTTAAATAAAACTGATATTTAAAGAGAGGGGAGAGTTGTAGTATATTAAGCTAGTGTAGAGCATGGGCGAGAGCGGGCGTGTGTGCGAGGCTGAGCGAGAGAGCGTGTGAGTGTCAAGCGGAGTGCTAGAGTGCGTGTATGTGTGAGGCAAAGAGAGAGAGCGTACGCGGAGCGACTGCGCGAGAGAGCAGAGCTATGCACGCCAAAAGAGAGAGAGAGGGAACACGTGTGATAGACAGCACTTGTAAATAGCGGAATGAAGCATTCGTGATTATTAAGCTTAATAAATATTCATTATAATCAATTAAGTTGAATGTGTGCAATTTATTTACCCTCGATACACCCAATACACCTAATCAGCATATAGCTAAGCAAGCTAAAGCCACTGCCTCCTCTCCGAGGGTTCACACCTAGCCAGCATAGCTCAGTAAACTAGAGACGCTGTCCCCTCTCCGAGAGCTAACGCCTAGCCAGCATCTAGCTTACCAAGTTAGAGACGCTGTCCCCTTTCCGAGGGCCTTTACCTAATCAGCATAGTTTAGCAAGCTAGATACGCTTCCCCCTCTCTAAGGACCTAAACCTAGCCAGTATATAGCTTATCAAGTGCCCTACCAACTTTTACAGCGTCCTACCTTTACAACCTCTGTAGGAGATATCTACCTTGACAGTGGTATAAAATAAAATTTATTATTATATTATTTACTAATAAGGGGGGGGGGGGGCTCTGCGGAGTCGCAACTATGTCAAAGTACCACTCCGGGAGGTCGGTGAGAGGCACCACCCACTCCCTGACCATTCACAATGCGTGCGCAGCGCATTTGTATGTTTCAAGCCACCTGGACCGCCAACGAGGTGGCTAGAAACATGCATTGCTTATCTACTAACACATTGGCAATATTATAAAAATTTTGTAAAAACATTCATGGCTATTGGAGAATTATGAAATTTTAATAAAATTTAGTCTATTCCAAAATTAACCCCGACATTGATTTTTAACCGAAATATTTTAATATTTCAAGTCAGTGAATCCGTTATAATTTTGACATTTAAAATAACTTTTAGATTTTTAAACGTGAAATCCGAAGAACAAATTAATTCTTTTGAACATAGAATTGGTGCTTTTATTTACTTAATAAATTTAAGTTTTTATGAAGAAAGTAGACCTTAAAATGATCTTGAACATACCCTTCAAGATAAAACACAAAGATAAAATATTCTGGCTACTCGAAAGTTCAGTTATGTTTGCCTAAAAAATCTTTCCCTACATTATACTCTTGTAAAATTTCAATTGCTTGGCACTTTTATAGAAAAAATAAAACTGACATTAAAATGACTTTGGGGGTCAGTCATACCTCGATTCTTACTTCATGTAAACATAGTTATTTCCACTCTTTCCAAATTCGTGATCACAAATAAGCATTCCTATTTCAAATAACAAAGGCGAGCTTGGTAAATTAACCTTGAACATTACTTGTAAGATCAAAAAGAAAGTCACTAGAACATCTATTTCTCAAAGTCAAATATATTTTTTTTGAAATACTTTTGCTGGTACTTCTCAAGTATTATATGAGCCGCTTATTTTGAAAGTGGCCTAACTCCATTCATCTTCAAATCGAGATATTGAAAGTTTAGGCCATTTTCAAACTACACGGCTCAGTTATTCAATTAGTTCGGAAAACTTATGTGTAAAAAATGTATTATTTTCTCTGAATATAAGCAATCTGAAGTGCGTCACTGATAAATAACATGAAGTTGTACATGTAACCATTGTAAGCGGCAGAAAATTGAAAAACGGAGTTAAGTCACTTTCAAAATCAACGGCTCATATCAACTATTATATTAAGAAATTTGACTGCGTAAATTGAAATAGGGCACGTAATATATAGTTATTCAGTTCCTTACTGAGTTAGTCATAAATCACTAGATCATGTTTGATAAATTGTATTTGGTAATAAAATCTATAGATTTGAATAAATTATATTTATTTTATAATATTTTTGAATAATAATGTGATGAAATTTGTTTAGATAAAAATACAGCTTTCACTAAATAAAGCACCCAATAAACCTAAATGGATGAATAGAAATGGCCTGTGAGTATATTATTTATTTTATTCTTTCTTCTTTAATATTATTATAAAAATTTTTGTTCTTCTCTCAGCTAAAATCATGTTAATAGAAACTGATTTCATTGATTAGATTAAAAAACCATAAAAATTCGCGAAATCTTATTCGAAGAAAGGAGGAAAGTTATTTTGACCAATTTTCGGCCCGTTACGTTTTTAACAATACAAATTTTTCTTATTATTAATATCTATATTTGATAACTAATTGATTCCGCAATAAACGGAACCTCTTCCCTATCCCTCGTAGTAAGATTCTCGGTCAATTCAATGTCAAATTGAAAAAA